CTTGAGACTTTTGTTTAACTCACTGAATTGCTTGGTGGGTATTCAATAGTATAATGTAAAATGTAGAGTAAATAATGTTTTATCAGTTCTTTTAAGATTCTTTGTCCTTTCGCCTGTTAGTGTGCTGATCTTCACATGATTCTTATCATTGTCCATTGATTTTGTCATTGTTGTTTCTTTATAATGTAGAATGTAAACTGAGATAATTTTTGGTTCCTTAGGCTTACTAGTGTTCTGGCTTTAGAGTCTTGAGACTTTATAGTCTTGAGTCAATTTACTTTGTCTGACTGTGACTCAATTTATTGAATTATTTGGTGTTTATTTAGTGTTTCCCTCCTATGTGACTATTCATTATTGATCTTGTCTTACTGAGTTTTCCGGCATTATTCTTTTTAGATTAATGGCAGTTCTGAAAAGTAATATACATACATACATACATACATATACATACATATAATATCTGTATATTACATTGTATTTTTTTTTCAATTAATTTAACATTGTATAAAATGTTGCAGGTGCCTGCTAATGACAAGCAACTTGTGGAGATAATGCAAATGGTACATAAAAAACTAGGGGAAGATCTTAGGGAGATTGGGAATGCCATAGTGTTTTCTAAGAAAGAAATCACTTAAGACCCAAAAGTGAAAGCCATGGTTGCACATTTGCATGAACTTTTGTTGAGTCTTTTTTATACTTTAATTAAATAACTTTTAAAATAATTTCATCTAATCCCTTTTGTTGTTTTTTTTTTTTAAACTAGAGGGGGCAAGCACAAGCTTTTATGATTCAGCTTCTGGGGAGGATTATGAGGAGATATCCACTGCAAAAGTAAATCTTAAACTTTGTCATTCAGTTCTTGCGAAGGATTGAGTGAACAGGTTATTATCCTAAAGTGTGATTACTTGCTAGTGAATCTTATGTGTTATTGACAATGACGGAGCCATAAATTTTAATTAGGCCAACCAATATTACAAAGTAAAAGTATTCATATCAGGAATTTCAATAAATAACTTTTTCTGAAAAAACCTTCCCAACCTTAATATTTTAACTTTTAAACAAGTGATGTTGTGGTAAATATCATACACATAGAATTCAAGGTATCTTAAGATTTTTGTTACAATACTTGATTGAGTTTGTTAGTAATTTTTATAATTTCTTTCATCAAATATAAAATGAAAGTAAAATTAAATGATATTAATATTTTACAGGCATATGTAGCATTACCTTGTTGAAAATAAATAGATAAAGTGACAATTATATTTTTAGAAGCTAAAGCAGTCGCACTATCTATGCATACATAAAAGATTATATATACATATATATAATTGAAATGATAACATCGTCTAATGTATCCAAGTCATTGTAATGTATTAATTTAACCCCTTTCTATATGAATCTCATTATTTTCAACCAAATTAGCAACTTGAATTGCAAAATATCTTATAATCCATCATTATGCTTATAAGAAGAACACACAATATTAATAATCATATTCAAGCCTTAAGAGAATGAATGTGCATCAACTATTTCTTTACCTACACTATTCATAATTGATAAGCTAAATAACACATGTGATGGAAAAAATTAAAAATATTTTAGGGGGAAACATGTCCCCCCGGTCCTCCCTTCTCTCGACCACTAATTATCAAAAAATGTTTGTTTTTTCTAATTTTTTTTAGTTGTTACTTAGGAAGAAGATAGTATATTGTATTCTCTATGATGATGTAGTTTTAATTGCTTGTAAAAGACACTCAACGAGATGATCATAAGCAACCTCCTGTTTTTTTTTTTTTTTTTTGGCATTTTGTACAAGTAAACTATTAGGAGTTGGGCGCTCATACTTTTTGGGTCATAAAAAAAATAAATACTAAATGTGAGCATTTTTTTTAAAAAGGATTCAAACTAAATTGAGATTATTTTGACAAGATGATTGGTGGTAAAATTTGGTAAATAAATTTATGCTGTCTAAACAAGCATTGGGCAACCATGGCCCATCCCCCATGCAATTGGAATGGCCTTTTAATTATATTACATATATTTTTTTAAAATAGGAGAGATACCGTATCTATTTATTTATTTCAAATTTTTAAAAATATTTTTTTCATTTATTGAAGATCTATATATTTTGAAAATATGTAGTTAAAAATATGAAATGTATTTTAACATACATTAGTTAAAACGCTCTTGTGAAAATTTAAAAAAGAAAAATTGGGTTATTTGGGCTAGGCCCAAAAAAAAAAGTGAATCAGAATAAATTGTCATTCACTGAAACCGAAAACAATTTCTTTCACAATTTTTACCCAAGAAAATTTTTCTCTCACAATCTACTAAAAATATTAATCTCACAAAAAACAAAAGAAAGGAAAAAAAAAAAAGAAATAACAGCATGCTTGGTATGTCAGAAAATTTTTAAAGGAATGGAAAGCAGAATGAATTATAGAAGTATAAGTAATGGAAATAGATAAATATAGAAAGACTAAAATATCCCTAATAATAAGTACTAATCACAAAGCACTAAAAAGAAAGGAATTTTGTATCAGATATGTTGATGTGCAGTTATGAATTGATAATAATATGTTCAATATGTTCAAATGAGTGGATTTGAATTTTAATTAGTTAAATATAGTTAAAGACAAATAAAAATATATATTAAATTTAAAAGACATATATCTGGTAACCACTTTATTTTGTGTATATATAACTTCATAGAAATTTCATCCAGCCCTAACAATATTAAAATTAATTAGGTATTTTTTATTTGCCATGAGTTACGAGTTATGGGTACTTATTACTTTTTTTAGATTAAATAGCAATTTGATCCTTAGATGATAAATTCATGAGTGTTTGCAATTTTAAAGTTATTTTTTGTGCAATAATATCCTTCAACTTTTGAAAACAGTACAATATACCTTTACTATTTACAAAAGTTAATTTTAACCTTAGTTAACCATAAAATGATAAAGAAAGACAAAAAAAAAATTACAGAAAATGATAAAAAATAAAGTTAACTTTGTGGTGCAATGTTTGTCCTTTTATGTTATTTTTGGGTCCTTATTTGTAAGTTTGGATCCATTTTCATAATTTGCTTGGTTCTTTTATGTAATTTTCATAATCAACGAACTGTTAAAATAAATTTTTATTAATGATAAGATTACATTGCATGATTTTTAAAAGTTAAAAAAAAATTACACACAAAACAAGTTTATGATTGTAGACGCCCCTAGACTTATAATTTAGAGATCAAATTACTTTTTTAATCTTATTTTTTAAAATATATATTAAATAAATATGCATATATAGTCAAGTTAAAATAAGAATTATATAACACTACTGAAATTTTATGATACTACTTAATAAGAATTATGTGTAATATCCAATTCAACATTCAAAAATGAAACGAAACAATTTTTGAATCTTGATGAAGTATATGCCCTAGTTAAATAAGATAAAATAATTGCATAATCTAAAAACACAAAAAAAACGACACTTCTTATTTTATTTTATTTTTGAAACTAAACCTATCTAAAAAGTAAATTTATTTTATTTTATTATTGCAAACAAACATAAAATAATTTGACCACTCCTTTTAAAATGAATCGAATTGAATTTCAAATGCTTAAATCTAATTAATCAAAAAAAAAAAATACAATTGATAACCACTCCTTTATGCATGACTCACCATCCATGCAATTAGATCAGCCTTTTAAATTCACCTAAACTTTTTAGCATATGAAAAAGAGATACCTTATTTATTTATAGTTTGTTTAATTTTTTTCATTTATTGAATATCTATATATTTTTTAAAAAAATTAAGGTGCATTTTTTTTCTTAAAGTATTCATAGAGGAGCACTTAATATTCTAAATTATTAGCTAAAGCAATTTTATTTTTAAATAATTATAGCGTAGCATTTTTACACTTATTATTAAATTCTCTAACATTGGCCATTAACTTTAAATAAGTTTGACCCAAAAAACCATGTATCACGCCATGTGGATTTGAAAAAGCCACGTGTCATATCCTAAGAGGATGAGACCCCCATCAACTCCCCTTACTTCATCTATTTCAATTTCTCTCAACCAAACTTATCTTCTTCTTATGAATCTTGTCTCTTCTCTCTTCACCACCGCTAATGGTTTTTGATCTCACCTATTGTCATGGTCATTCACACTAATGCTTTCCACCATGAATCTCGCAAAATTAAGGAGATTTGCCAGTCTATTTCTTAATCCAGAATAATAGTTTAAGGTACTTTGTGTTCCTTCATGAATATTTTAAAAGTAAAAATATACCTTAATTTTGACAATATATAGTCAAATTTATGTAAAGTATTTTAACAGGCATTGTTAAAGGGCTCATGTGATAATAATAATAAAAAAAGATTGGGTTGTTATGGCTAGGGCCTAAAAAACAAAGTGGACTGGAACATATTGTCACTCCAAAAACTCAAAAGACAAGAGTTTAAAATTTCTCTCACAATCTACCTAAAAAAATTCTCCCACAAAAAAAACAAAGAAAAATAAATAACAACATGCACTAAATATCTCTAGTAATAAATACCAATCATTCGGCACTAAAAGGAAAGGAATGTTGTTTGAGATACATAAGTTAGGCTATAATAATCTTTATGCACAAGCATTTACATGTAAACTGTTACCTTTTGAAATAACGGTGTTCATGGAACAGAATGGAACTAAATTTTTGCTCCCTTATTCGATTCCATCATGTCTCAAAAGTCATCTCATTTTATTTGGGATCAAGATGAGACCACACAAATCGAGAAATCCTAGTAAAGAAGATAAAAATCGGGGAGGAGAGAAAAGGAAAAGTAAGAATTAAGCAAATACTATATATCAAGATATTCATATTTTCAAATTTTGAGTAATCAAACACACTTTTTTTTTACATGAAACAAATACAACTTACAAAGTGGTAATAAAAATAGCACAATTAGTCAACTACAAGAAACAATATATATATATATATATATAACTAAAGTCTACATGACATTTGTCAAATTATATAATTTCGTAAATTCAAAACAACACAAGCAAACAACAAAAAATCACACTTACACAACTTGTATAATTCCTTCCACTTCTTAATAATTTAAGATTACATTTAGATAATTTAAGTTTCATTGATTTTTCAGATTTTGACCTTCTAAATTTAATCAGAGGTCATAGAGATGAGTACTAGGATGAGGGATTCTCAGGCATGGATTTTCTGGGACATCCTAAAATTCTTGTGAGATTCAAAAGAGAAAGGAGGAAAGAAATGAGGATGATGATCGTAGTCCACAACCTCCTCAGGTGCTTCTATGTCTCCCTTCTTTGGTCCCAACAAGAAAGAAGCCATTGACACTCACATTTACTTCCTTGCACTCTACTCCGTGTCTCATAGTTGCAAACCTTCCACTGCTTCATGCCTACACACATCAAGTCCCTACTTTACATAAATTTACATAGAGCCTAAGAAATAAGTCGTATTATGCACTTCATAATTTTTAACTAACAAAATTTTTTAATGCACATAGATACATGAAATTTGATCCTCTTAGGTTGCAATTCCCTCAATTTGTTTCAATTTTAAATTATAGTTTCATTTATCATTTGGATAGATATGCAGTTCAATTAAAATAAGAAATAAATAAATATTACAATCCTCAGATTTAGGAAGGGAAAGAAAACTAATAATTTAAATTTAAAAGTGGGGCATAGATTTTGTGTCCCTTGATTTAGTAGGGAAAGAACATAGTAATAATTTAGATCAATCAATTATTACCATTCAAGCAAGCTTGGGAAAATTATTCATGCTTTCAATAATTTTAATTTGGAAGAACTTCTTCCACTAATAACAAAAGGGAAATCACAATTAAGGACATGAAAAAATAAGTAATAATGATTGAGGATAAAAGACAATGGTCCATTTTTGGAGTTTAAAAATAATATTTTGACTAAAAGACCATTCACACTAACTAATTGTGCATCTCAAAAAGGGGTGTTTTACTCAAAGGATTATTTTTCAGACTATAAAAAAGGATCATGGTCCTTAAATTCAATTTCACAATTCTATGATGCTCAATTGTTATTACTAGTTTTCTAAGGCCCTTAATTGTAGTTTTTCCAATAACCAAATGTCCAAAAAAACTTCTTGATGAATTATGATTGAATGCCAAGAGATATAACAACTTACATGAGCTATATCACCAAGAATGGCAAAGAAGCTTTTTGGGCAAGGAGGGGCATCAACAAGGGAACCAGACTTATTGTTCATCACTTGAAGCCCTCCAACATTTTCATCATCTTGCAGGTGACGAAGCTTGAGTCTGTATGCATTTGCACACCACACGACTCTATTGTTTCTAGTGTGAAATTATGCCTGTTTATCTTGAACTAACATATCCATTCCTTGAAATATCCATATGCTTCTTCCAAACCCAAACTCTCTACCATCTTTTCTGATACATCCATCAACAACTCATGAATTGGTTTCCCATATGACTATCACTTTCCTACATGCCACACATCACATAGATATATATATATATATATATATACATTTCTTGGAAATTGGATTCAGTAAGAGTCAATAACAATCTTGAAAGATCAATAACATGCTTAGTAGACCTAATAGGTAATTTTGGTAGTTTACTTTCTGCTTGTGCCTCGTAATACACATAACTATGAATATGCCGTGGTATGCCCCATCCTTTTTTTTTTTGGGAGTAAAAATGGAGAATATGATTCCTCAAAAAATAGCTAAAAAGCACATGGCTTTATATTAAAAAAGAACTAGGCTGTGGGTGAACTATGCAAGAACAATAGAAACAAAAGAACAAAGGGCGAAGCATCTAATTGACAGCAGAAAGCTTACGTTTGGTGAGGAGAAGTATCTAATCGAGAGCAAAAAGTTTGAACGGCGTGAGAAGAAACCATGTCATCGAGTGCCAAGCTCCCGAAGAAAGGATTCTCAGAACTTGGAGGAATATAATCAGTTGCTTTCAGAAGTTGTTCGGTGTTTCGCATCTTGGTCCTTACAGTAAGGTCAAGCAGAGATCTCACAACCTTCGTCATCTCTGCCATGAGACTTGAATCAATACAATGGTTCGTCAATCTGAAACATCCCCAGTCCTCGCACGCCTCTCTCAGCCTCTTCTTGAGATTATCTCCAGACTCTTGCAGATCGATCACTGGCAAGGTGCTCATCTTCGCCATTCTTCCCTGTCCGTCATGATTTCTTGTGGCTGTACTGTACATATATAGCCATCAAGAAAGTGCAATCCAGCCACCCATCACTTGTTGCTGCATATATGTTTCTTATCGACTGGGTCTGAGTTTTAATCATTATCCCCCTAATTTTAACTCAATCCTGACAGATTAATCATGATAATTTTGACTTGATTCTAAGTTGATTGGTGCCATTAATTTTGTTGGAGGCAGGGCAATAGGAAATCGCTCTTCTCTATTCCTAGTGTAGTGATTCAGTACTAGTGCAAGTGCGCTTATGTCAGCTCGTAGCCACCAATAATTAAATTATAGTCTTCGTGTGATTCAATTTTTATAATTTTAATCATTTAAAATATTAATTTTAAATTTTAGAAAATAAAATTTTAAAAATTAAAATTATGTTGACATTTATGACTAATTTAAATTAGTAAAATTTTAATTTGATAAATATTATAAAAATTTTATCTTTCTAATTTTATTTTGTAAAATATAGAGAATGATTTTTAAAATAATTGAAATTGTAAAGACTGAGTTACATCGAGTTAAAATTTAAAAATTGAGTTATAATTAAGTCAAAATTTTGAGGACTAAGTTGCAATGAGTTAAAATTTAGAGATTGAGTTATAACTAAATCAAAACTATAGAAATCAAATGATTAATATTCATTTTTTTAAGTGAAAATGTGTGCTGTTTTTATTCATAAAGAATGGGAAGAAAGTCCGATGATACTAGGACGTTTGGGTTCCCTGATGTTCAACGTTTCTCTCAGGAGTGTTCAAGTTTATAATTGTCTCAATTGGATTGTACCTGTCCTGATCATGTTGAGACGAGTTTGTCCTAATCTAAAAGATATCAAGACAGGATATTTGTAGAATGAGATAGAAAAGGGGCTGCCTCAAGCCGGGACTCGAGATACCCTTTGGGACATCCCATCCCGTCCTAATATTATAGATATATATATATATATATATATATGTTTTTTTAATATATGTATTATTTATTATGTAATTTTTATTGTTTATTTGTTGATGTTTTTCGTCTATTCTTACTTTATTTAATTTTACATTGTTTTATGATACTCAATCTGGCTAACCAAGTTGTGAGATTTCATAATTATTGATATTGATTTGAGGAATTAAAAATGCAAACCTGAATTGTTACCATTCAAGTAATATAATGAGTTTATTTTTTGAGTCTATGCTTAGTTGTTGTTGTTTATTATAATTATAATATAAGTTTATAATAAACTCTAACTAAATAGCATGCACATCCAGAGGGGCTCTTGTATTTGGACTATATGTCTTTATATCTATTTGTTTATATGTTGAAACTCAATTGATTAATCATATATCTAAAAATATGGTTCTTTATATATGTTGGTTGAGTATTACTTGTCATTTGAAGATATAAGGTGATTATTGAGACATCCCTGTCCCGTCCCGACCCCTACTGGGATAAGAGGGGATAAAATTTGAATCCCAATCATTTTTTAGGACGGGACACGAAATGAGGGTATCCTAGTCCAGTTCCATGAAGACCCCTAGTTTCTCAAGTTGACTTCTCTTTTTTCCAAAAACAAAGAAAAGAAAAAATTGGGATTAAGGTCTTATGGCAAAAATATTTTTTTAAAAAAAAGTACCCAAAACTTTCTTGTACAAAAGCACTGAAAAAGAGTTCCAATGACTTATGGGAAAATCTCATTTAAGATTTCATATAACAAATCTAAATATAAAAAGAAGTCTTATAAATTACTTTGAGTTTTTATGTGCAATAAATTGGCATTGTCAATTATATTGAATAATTATTAGTAGAAATTTTCCATTGACAACTACGTAATAACAATTAACAACTATCGTATACTAATTGACAATTTTAATAAAAGAAATGAAATTTTAGAATAATTTTATGATTTCATAAGATTTTTTTACATTTAGATTTCTTGTTCATGCTAAGAACTTGTTAGTTGAAATGGTTTGGAACATCCTCTTAAAAGTGTGCCGGGCTTGCAAGAAGAGCTATATTTACCATAATGGTGAGTTCTTAGATTCTTTACCACAATTTTCTTGGAATTGGTGAGAGGGAGAACACATTTACATGTTTAATACACACACATGGGCGTGTGCTAGTAATAACAATTTTCATTATTAAAAATAACTCAACAAAACTTGATATACATAGCTGTGGATGCTTTTGAATATACATAGCTTGATAGACACGAGAAATTAGATATTTATCTGAATTAATTCCCTGCACACGTCCTTAGTTCTTTAAGATTACATCTAGAGCATTTACGATTAGACTTAAATAATTTAAACTTTATTTATTTATTTATTTAAATCTAGACCATCTAAATTTAATTAGAGGCTGTAGAGACATGTATTAGGGCAAGGGCTTCTCCAGCATGCATTTTATGAGATACCCTAAGCTACCTATAATGTTCATATATAAGAGAAAAGAAGAAAGAGACGAGGATGATGATCAAAGTCCACAAGCTCCTCAAGTGCTTCTATGTCTCCCTCCTTTGGTCCCAACAAGAATGAAGCTATTGATGTTGATCTCACACTTGCTTCCTTATACTCTACTATGTGTTTCATAGTCCCAAACCTTTCGTTGCTCCATACCAACACATATTTGTATTATTCATTTCATAATTTGCAATAATCCCAATTTGTTTACACACGTAGTTACATGAATTTGGATCCTCTTAAGTAGCGACCCCCTCAATTGTTTTCAATTTTAACTACTGGTCAAAATAATTTTGCTTTTAAAGTAATTATAGTATAGCATTTTTTCCCTTGCTATTAAATTTCTTGACGTTGGTTGTTAACTTTGAAGAAGTTTGATCCAAAATGCCACATGTCATACCCTATGACATGACCCCCTATCATCTGCCCCTCCTTCGTTTTCTTCAATTTCTCTTCACCAAATCCTATCTTCTTCCTACAAATCTCCTCTCTTCTCTTTTCTCCACTCTAATGGATTCCAATCACACCCACTGCCATGCTCATAAATTTGCATCAACAACAATTTCCATCATGAATTGGCAAATTTGAGGAGATTGGCCACTCTATTTCCTTTTCCAAAATAATAGTTTAAGGTACTTGATGCTCCTTATTGAATACTTTAAAGATAAAAATGCATCTTAACCTTAAAAATACATAATTAAATTTATGTAAAGTATTTTAACATACATTGATTAAAAGGCTCACGTGAAAAAAAATAAAAAGATTGGGGTTTTTGGGCCAAGGCCTAAAAAACAAAGTGGCCCAGATCATATTGTCACCTAAAAAACTCAGAAGACGAGAGTTCAAAATTTCTCTTACAATTTACCCAAAAAAATATTTCTTTGAAAAAGAAAGAAAGAAAGAAAGAAAGAAATAACAAGTTGCATTAAATATCCCTAGCAATAAGTACCAATCGCCTAGCACTAAAAAGAAAGGAATGTTGTTTGAGATATATAAGTTGGGTTAAGATAATCTTTATGCACAACAAACATTTCTATGTAAATAGCTATCTTTTGAAACAACAATATTCATAGGACAAAATGTGTAAAATCTCCCTTACTAATCCACATTATCTCCAAAATTTCAAGGTAATTAAGGAATTAACTCAAGAGAATAACCAAGTTTTTAAAATTTACAAAAGTGGGATCCAAGTTTTTTAAAATTCCAAAATATTCCAAAATACTACTATAAGTCAAAAATCATAGTAGAAAGTGTATGAGGATGCATGAGATTTCAAAAAGGATCAAAGCATTTTCATTATAGTCGAGAATAGCAACATGGTGTAGGAAAACATAAGTGTATTGCAGCATGTAACATGTGCGCTATAGCATGTTCCTCTTTATACCACGCACTATAGTTTAGAAGCCATGTGCCACAGCACATTGCACATTTTTTATAATAATAGAGTTGTCAAATGATAGCTCGTGAGGTAAAATTTTGACATGCCTTATTTCTCCATCTGATGTTCGATTAAAGTAATTTAGGTGTTTACAAAAAGCTTTTTCTTAACTCTAGCCGATGGCAGTAATGTCACTCATATATCATATCTCAATAAAAAGTTGGACATCTATTTGCAAACTTACTCTTTTTCAAATTCAAAAATACACTAGGGTGTCCTATTTCATTTCCAAATGCCATAATTCACACAAAACTCTTAAATCATACTCAATGGACTATAACAAACCTGTGTAACATACCATGATAACCAAATCATATATACATCATATTTCTAATTCTCAACCCCTAGAATACAAAAGCAGAAGGGGGAGCCTCAATAGCATAAATCATTCATTCATCATCATTAATCACATAATTTGCTTATCTCTCATTTGCACTAGCATTTTAGCCCTTTTTAGATTTTAGAATTAATACATATAAACCCTAAGGTCCAAAATACTCAACTTAGTTCAACAATTATATAGTGCAAGTAAGCAAAAACATGTAATCTCCTAGTTGGCAATATCATGCAAAATATACACATAATACTTAAAGTAAAATGAGGCCTGTAATAGGAAGGATATTCTATACCTCAAGCTATTTCCCTCAATCCTGACTAGATGAGCTAGACCTTATAATATTGAAGAGAGAGGGATTAGTATAAGAACTTGGTAACTAAGGTACATCTAACTGATACTAATGCATACCAATTGATCAAAAAACAAGTAGCATATGATGTCATGCTCACGACAAAATAAAAACTCAATCATCCAATCACATATAATTGTATTTCATATCATTCATCACACAATTTATATAACAATTTCTCAAAAGCACCTTTTCACACTTATATAGGGCTAATCATATGTTTTTACATAATTACATCACAAAGGACATAATACAAATAACCATGTGCCCTTATCAATAATATGTATGATCGTACCTCCCTCATATCTTCCTTGTATCTCCGACATGAAATCATAGGTTATTACACACTGGGATTGTCCTTGTGATGAGATACCCTAGCCTTTCATACTTGTGGATCACGGCTTCCCTAACTCTCATGCTATAGAATGTCATTCTTCTAAACTAGCTTTCTTACTAAACAAGTAAAAACTAGAGTAGGTTCTAGTACCTTAATACATAATGGATAGTCCCTCATCGAATATGTGGGATAATATATAAATCCAAGCAAACCATCAAGCTCCAATGGCAGCCTTACCACGTGAATTTTTAACTTTCCTCTTTCTAAGCAAATTCTTGCTTCACATGATCATGCAATGCATAAATGCAATATCACATAGCATACAAATTACTCATTATATAGGCATGCTTAACATCATTATTATAATCACATCATCTATGATAATTACATAATCACATAACAATAAATAATTGAACTCCATATCACATTATATCATTAAACTCCTCACCAAAAATATTCATTGAAATCCATTAAACATCATATTGTTGAACTTCTTATCATCATAAAACTCCTTAATTTCAACATTTAATTCATTACATAACAAATATACAAGCATATCATTTCAAGATTTCCCAACATCATCAAAGGAACATTTAAATTTCATGTTCCATACTTGCATTATAGCAATTTCACAATTGATATTAACAATTCATAATTCAAATAACTAATTAACACACAAGAGTATAAGAAAATATTTCTCGCTTACCTCAAACTTTTAAGAAATCAAAAGTTTATCCATTAAATACATACTTTCAAAGCTATTCCAAGCTTAAATGATGTCAAGTCGTAATCCCTCTACATTTATTCACATCAACAATTTGTCAATATCATCTTTAGGATAATTTCTAGCATTTACTCAACATTTCCAATTCTCAAAATCACAATTCCTTTATTTTTAATCATGCCCATTAGTTCACTAACTCCCATTATATTACATTAATTTTATTGAACTCCCAAACAACCATTAATGACATTTTCAACTCCCATCCATCTCATTTATGAGAGATTTTTTTTATATTAATGGCTCCCAGCCACTAAAAATGAGTAAAGCAATAAATGCTAGGTTTAAATAACTTAAACAACTCTCATTAATTCTATTTAAGTCAATATGTTTAGACTCATAGTTTTTATAGATCGAAAATCATCTTTTCTAATAAATCCTAACTTCCCAACTCAAGAAAAATGGAAGAAGTAAGAGGATAAACACTTAGAAAACTTACCTTTAGTGTTTAGAAGCCTCAAATACCTCTTAAAATTTGACCCAATGTGTGCCATAACAGAGCTCTTGAGTTCCTCTCTTCATTTTTCTCCCTTTCTTTCTTCTATTTTTGAACTTTGATTTAGATTTATTTGAATGAAAACTATCTATTCGTCATAGTGTATGCCACATGCATCATGGTGTATGCCATATGTGCCACAGTATGTAGTACATAGAAGCTGGATTCATGTTTTGATGCCTTGTGTGGCACGGCATCTTGTGCACATGCCGCGCAACATGTGTCATAAAGTCCTTTCTCCTTGTTTTCCCCCCATTTTATGGTCTGAGTGGTCCAAATTCACTCCAAATTCAATCCATAGGCTGAAATCACAACTCATAACATCCATTAGCTCTTTGTAATCACACTATATTTATTCACTTAATTTTTCTAGGATGTTACAAAATGGAGCTAGATTTTGTCCCATCTTATTTGCGATTGAGAAAAGACCATACTGATAGAAAAATCTCAATAATGATGATAAAGAAGGGAGGAGAGAGAAGGAGAAGTAAGAATTAAGAAACTAATATCAATGATATTAGAACTAGATTGGCTATTAAACCAATCAAGGTACTAGTCTATAGTTCAAAGGTCAGACCAAGGTTGAACCATGGTTGGACAATTTATGATTAAATTAATATATTTTAAATATTATATATTAAAAATTATAGATAAATTGATAAATCCAAGAAACTTATTATTGATAAAATAATAATCCCCATATATTTCAAACTTCAAAGCCATACCAACACAAATTCAATAACATAATCCAATTACATACTAACAATATAACATTGAAATCTAATACAAATTAAACCAAACAACATAGGGTTATCCATATTCAAAGTGATTCGTGCACAACACGATACTTTCATACGATCAAAATTTGTAGAATTACAATAACATTTAGCAACCAAAACAAAATGATTGAATAATAAATATTATTTAAGAACAATGAAAAGAGGAGACTAGCATAACTGTGGAAGAAACCCGACTGAGATGACACTAAAGGCTGGAAGAAACTCAAAGCCAAAGAGCAAGGGCCATGAGCAAGACTATGATACTGAAGACTGGAAGAAACTTGAAGCTAAAGAGCATGATCCATGAGCACAATTGCGATACCAATAAGATCAAGGAACACTAAAACATAGCACACGATGCCAATGAGATTGAGTGACACTAGAATAGACATAAGTTTGACACTGATGAGCCCAAATGTGACGGTCGAATACTCAAATGAGATGAAGATGAGGGCATAGGGTTGGATATTAGCTGTAGGAGGTTTGGTTTTAGGGCTGAATTTGTGTGAGTTTTCCATTTGTTATCCCATTTGAAATTTAGGGAAAGAAAAAGAATTAAAAGGAAATCGTCTGAACTATCGGTTCTCTTAATTTTGCCTAATTCACCTCCAATTCAAATGGTTTAGAGGAAGTTCCCTCTGCCTCCATTTTTTACCACTTTTGGACTAACTACCTTGCTGATTCTCAGTTGAACTAATTGAACCGGCCAATCCAGTCCGATTCTAATAACGTTGAGTAACATACATGGAGTAGGTATTTGCATTTTCAAATTTTGAGTAATCAAATACACTTTTTGTAAATGAAATAAACACAACTTACAAAGTGGTAGTAAAAATAGTACAATTAGTCAACTATGAGAAGCAAAAAAAAATATAACTAAAGTCTACACTAAATTTATCAAATTACATAATTTTATAAGTTCAAAAAAAAAACACAAGTAAACAACAAAAAATCACATGTACATAACTCATAATTCCCTGCACACGTTCTTAGTTATTTAAGACTACATTTAGACTGTTAATATTAGATTTCAATAATTTAAGTTTCATTCATTTATTAGATTTGAATAATTTAAGTTTCATTCATTTTTCTAATCTTGACCATTTAAATTTAATTAGAGGTCGTATGGACGCGTACTAGGGCGAGGGATTCCCCATCATGGATTTTTCGAGACATCCTAAGATTCCGATAATATTCATAAGAGAAAGGAATAAAGAGACGAGGATGATGATCAGAGTCCACAAGCTCCTCAGGTGCTTCTATGTCTCCCTTCTTTGGTCCCAACAAGAATGAAGCTATTGACACTCTCACATTTGCTTCCTTGCACATTACTCTGTGTTTTACTGTCACAAACCTTCCATTGCTCCATACCTACACACACACGTCCCTACTTTACATAGATTTACATAGAGTCTGCAAAATGAGTTGTATTATTCACTTCATAATTTGTAACTAACAAAATTTGTTTACACACATAGGTACATGAAACTTGATTCTCTTAATTTGCAACCCCCTCAATTTGTTTTAATTTTTAAATTATAGTTTCACTTATCATTTTGATAGACATGCAGTTCGATTAAAATAAGAAATAAATAAATATTGCATTCCATAGATTTAGGAAGGGGAAAGAAAACTAACAATTTAAATTTGTAATCTAAATAAAATAAGGGGGCATAGATTTTGCAACCCCTTATTTAGGAAGGAAAGAATAGAGTAACAATTTAGATCAATCAACTATTACCATTCAAGCAGGCTTGTGAAAATTATTCATATTTTCAATAATTTTAATTTGGAAGAACTTCCACTAATAACAAAGGGGAAATCACAATTAAGGACTTGGAAAAATAAGCAAAAATAATTGAGGAGCACAAAATCCTGAAATTAAATCAAAGGACAATGGTTCCTTTCTGGAGTTTAAAAATAATATGACTAAAAGACCTTTCACACTAACTAATTGTGAATCTCAAAAAGGGGTGTTTTACTCAAAAGATTATTTTTAAAAATATAAAAAAGGGCCATGGTCCTTAAGTTCAATTTCACAATATTATGATCCTTAATTGTTATTACTAGTTTTCTAAGGTCCTTAATTGTAGTTTTTCCAATAACCAAATGCCCAAACAAACTTGTTGATGACTTAGGATTGTCGGCCAAGAGATAAAACTTACATGGGCAATATCACCAAGAATGGTGAAGAGGCTTCCGGGGCAAGGCGGGACATCAACAAGGAAACCAGACTGATTGTTCATCACCTGAAGCCCTCCAACATTTTCATCATCTTGCAAAATGGTGATGAAGCCTGTGTCTGTGTGGATGTACACACCACACGACCCTACCGTTTCTGGTGTAAAACTATACTTGTTCATCCTGGAATACCATGCCCATTCCTTGAAATATCCATCTGCTTCTTCCAAGCCCAAACTCTCTGCCATCTTTTCTGACACATCCATCAACAACTCATGAATTGCTTTCCCATAAGACTCTATCACTTTCCTGCATGCCACACATCACATATATATACACATCAAATAAACCCACCTTTTTGTTCTTGGAGATTGGATTCAGAAAGAGTCAATAACAATATTGAATGATCAACAGCATGCTTAGTAGACCTAATAGGTTACGAGGGTAGTTTACTTTCTGCTTGTGCCTTGTAATACACATAACTATGGGTACGCCGTGGTATTCTCCATCTTTATTTTCTTTGGCGTACAAATGGAGAATTTTATTCCTCAAAAAATAGCTAAACAGCACTTGGTTTTATATCAAAAGAGAACGAGGTTGTTGGTGAAGTATACAAGAACAATAGAAACAAAAGGGCAAAGGGCGAGGCATCTAATCGAGAGCAGAAAGCTTACGTTTGATGAGGAGAAGCATCTAATCGAGAGCAGAAATCTTGAACGGCGTGAGAAGAAACCATGTCGTAGAGTCCCAAGCTTTCGTAGAAAGGATTCTCAGAACTTGGAGGAACATAGCCAGTTGCTTTCATAACTTGTTCGGTGTTTCGCATCTTGATCTCTACAGGAAGGTCAAGCAGAGATCTCGCAACCTTCTTCATCTCCGCCATGAGACTTGAATCAATCCGATGGTTCGTCAATCTGAAGCATCCCCACTCCTCGCACGCCTCTCTCAGCTTCTTCTTGAGATTTTCTCCAGACTCTTGCAGATCGATCACTGGCACGATGCTCATTTTCCCCATTCTTCCCTGCCTGTCTGGATTTCTTGTGGCTGTACTCTGCATATATAGCAATGAAGAAAGTCCGATCCAGCCACCCATCACTTATTGCTGTCTCTGTTTTTCTTTAGTGCCCGACTTTTGTCATGTGATTGGTTGTGAGTTTGTAATTTTTTTTTTTTTGGAAAAATTATCCTATTCTTTTTAACCCTAAGTTATTGAACTTTAACTTACAATAATTTAACTTTGATAATTTTAAGTATATTAATTACTGTCATTAATTCTTTTGGAGGCAGACCAATAGGAAATATCTCCTCTATTCTTAGTGTAGTGATACAGTACTAGTGCAAGAGCACTTACTTCTCTTTAAGAAAGATAGAAGGATTCACAGTTGTGAAAAAGGCTTTATTCAAATTTACTATGGTCTTGGTAATTTAAAATATTAATCTTTATATAAAAATAAAATCATAAAAATTAAAATTATGTTAAAATTTAGGAACTAATTTTAAATTGCTAAAATTTTAATTTGAAAAACATTATAAAGATTTAATCTTTCTAATTTTATTTCTAAAATATAAAAACTAATATTTAAAATGGTTAAAATTATTGGAATTGAGATGTATTGAATCAAAATTCAGAAACTAACTTACAACTAAGTTAAAACTTTAAAAATTGAGTTATAACAAGTTAAAAATTAAGAATTGAATTATAATTGAATCAAAACTATAAAATAAATGATTAATTTTTCTTTTAGAAAAATAGTAACCAAACCTCAATACCAAATTAATATTAGCCAATAACCAATTAAATTAAAAATTATAATTTAATCCCTTAATTCTTAACTGATATTAATTTGCGAGGTCACAAGACCAAATTATTCCTAAAAGTAAAAAAAAAAAGTCAACTCCCCACTATTGCCTATGCCAACCGCTAGACCCCTGTCAGCAGGGAAGTCAACAAAGCCCCTACCACAGTGGCCAGCCACCGAAACTCCAATGCTAACAACATTTTTATTCAATGAATATTTAACGTGTGCACTTGGATAGATGAGACAATCAATTCTAAAAGACCAAAATTAGGAGTTTGTAAAAATATATCAAAACACTTGTATTATATGACAAAATTAATTGTGAACAAAAAATATTGTTTCTTTACAAATATCCAAACACTCCTATTCATGTAAAAACCAATTATAAACCTAAAACTATTATTTATAAAATAGAGTTTATACGTTTTTGAATAAATTTTTTTAAAAAGTATAATTTAAAAGTTGGTTTGAAAAGTAGGTAATGATGACTTTTGAGATAACTATAATTCTGTGTTCATAATTGATTTTGACATATATAAAGGTGTTTGAATAATTTTTTTTTAAAACAAAATCATAGTTTTGAGCTTAAAATTAATTTTAGCATGTATGATAGAGATATTGTTTATGTATATATACATAAAAAAAAATATATATATATATATATAGGGTTAGGTTTTTGTTGTTTTGTTGCTTTTTTTTGGTTTTGGGATTCTTTTATTATTATTTTTTTTTGGATTTTTTTTTTTGGGTGTTTTTCTTGTTCGCTTTATTTGCGATTTTGATGAGCCTCTTTGTTAGACTTGGCATGAAGCCCAAAAAGCCCTTTTCACCGCCACTTTTCAGGTCCAAAACCCCACTCCTCTTACCCTTGGGCCCAGAAGCTTTCCCTCCACTTCTGTAGCCCAAAAAACTAATTGCCTGGTAAACTCTTGCAAGAATCTAACATTCCTAAATTTCTTGAGCAAACCTTTCACCTCTCAGGATGATTTCTTGCATGCAAGAAGAATAAAGATAAGTTATTTCATAAGATTAGCAATTCAATTTTTTTTTTTTTTTGAATGGGGAAGAGTTACAGAGTCGAACCTGGCAAGTTAAGAAATCATAAGAGTCATCATTTTTTCACAAATGATTGTCATCACTCTGTTCTCTACTAGATCTCCATGTATGGAGAAGAGTCACAGCACTGCAATTTTTTTTCTTTTTGAATGGAGAAGAGTTGCAGCATTGCAACAAAAGAGAGGATTTTGCTTCACTTCATCTTTATTGATTGCTTTAACTTCATATTCTTATAGCTATAGGACAAATTCTGGGGTCTCTCCATCATCAATGAACATCTTTGTCATCAACAAAATAGATTCTTCTTACAAATATTTCAAGTCTTTAACCAGATTAACACCTGTCATTTTGTCAAGTGTTTCTTTTTAATTTTATCTTTCTATGTAATTGTGATATTGTATGGACTTTATTTTGATCTTTTCACTACTATAGAAATGAGATTTGGTAAGATGCATTTTATAACAATTAAAAATGAAACGCCACTAAAACGAAAGTCGAGGTACATTAAGTGATGTATTTTTATAAAATGTCACTGCTTATCAATTATTTTTTATTTACAATTTTAATAAAATAACAAGAGGTGGCCTTATCTTCACAAAATGCCAAAGGTTATTGTTGCTGTACAATTTCGTGGCATTTCAAAATAAAATACCACCTAATAATTATGATAATAGAACCAAAAAAATAATTTTATTTATTATAATTATTATAATTAATATTATACTTATTAATATGAATATTATAATTTAATTTTATTCTTATTATTTTACTTATTTTTATTATTGATATAATTATTTTTATCAATTAATAAAAAAATTTAATTATATTTAATTAAGAATGATTTATATTATAAATATAATAATTACTACAATATTATTATTAATTTTAGTGTTAATTATAATATAAATTAATTCATTAATTAATAATCGTTATTAATATATCACAATAATTTAAATCTAAAAATATAAAATTATAAATATATTTTTCCAACAATCATTTATTAATAAATATAATATTTAATAAATATTTTATTTCATTAATTTTAGGTGACGCTTCCTACATGAGGAAACACCACCCAAGAGTTTTAATTTATTTTTATCTCATAGTTAATTATTTCATTTAATTATTTTTAATAAATATAGTATTTAATTTTATTGATGTTAGGTGGCGTTTCCCATTTAAGAAAATATCTCCCAATAGTTTTCATTTATTTTTTTAATGATAGATTATTTTTAATAACTATTTTATAATAAATATAATATTTAATAAATATTTTATTTTATTAATCTTAGGTGTCCTTTACTGCATGAGGAAACGCCATGTAATGGTTTTAATTTATTTTTTTATAGTTAATTATTTTATTTAATGATATATTATTTTCAATAATTATTTTGTAATGAATATAATATTTAATAAATATATTATTTAATTAAAATTATGCAGGAAATGTCACTTAATAGTTTTCATTTATTTTATATAAAAATATATATTTTTATTAATTATTTTATAATAAATATAATATTTAATAAATATTTTATTTAATTAATCTTATGTGGTGTTTCCTGCATGAGGTAACACCACTTAATGGTTTTAATTTATTTTATTTAATGATATATTATTTTCAATAAAACATTTAATAAATATTTTATTTAAGAGTTACAAAGTCGAACTTGGCAGGTTAAGAAATCATAGAGTCATCATGCTTTTGCAAATGATTGTCATCGCTTTGTTCTCTACTAGATCTTCATGTATGGAGAAGAGTTACACCATTACAACAAAAGAGATGATTTCACTTCACTTCATCTCCATTGCTTGCTTTAACTTGATGTTCTTATATCTATAGGATAAATATCAGGGTCACTCTATTATCAGTGAAGATCTTTGTTATCAATTAAATACATTTTCCTCGCTTAAATTCGATGTCTTTAACTACTATGATTAACACCTATCATTTTGTCAAGTGTTTCTTTTAAATTTTCTCTTTTAATTTTACCTTTTTTATGTAGCTATGGTATTGTATGGACTTTATTTTAATCCTTTAATGAAAAAAGAGTTCAACTATGGCTTTGTTTCATGCCTACTCTTCCCTCGTTGCATTATCCTGTTAACCTATATGAACAGTTTTTATGAATTCACAACACATTTTCATTGTGATTTGTATTATTTGTTAACAAAGTATTAGCAGTCCCCAATCTAAGTACTCCTCTAGTCCCCCTTCACTTCAGAAGCAGACCAAGGAGCTCCCTGGAGGGTTTCTTGAACAATCAATCCACAGCAATGGCAAATAAGAAAAGCATCCTTAATTGAGTTTTTCTGATTATCGTTTTAATATTTTTGTTTGTATGTTAATGTATGATATATGTAGAATGTATATTTACTAAAATTTTGTCAGTTTAATTTTTTAAATTTTTTGTTCCTCTCTCCTTTTAGATTCTTCTCCAGATTCTTTGATCATTTTTTACCTTCACATTATTCTCTCTCTTTTAGATTCTTTTGTTTTCATTGATCTTCTGATTCTATTTTTTTTAAAAAAAATTGCTTGTTCTTTATCTTCCTATTCTTCGAAGCTTCACATAATTTATATATCATATGGCCTTTTTTGTTAGGTAATGGAATGATCTTTTAATTATATTACATATATCCTTTTTAAAAATGAGATACCGCAGTGATTTATTTATTTCTAATTTTTTTTAAAAAAAATTCATTTATTGAAGATCTATATATTGTTGAAAATATGTAGTTAAATTTATGAAACATATTTTAACAGACATTGGTTAAAAGGCTCCCGTGAAGATATATATGAAAAAGAAACAATTGGGTTGTTTGGGCCAAAGCCCAAAAAGAAAGTGGATCAGAACAAATTGTCACTCGCACAAAGCCAGAAACTCAATAAAATTTCTCTCACAATATTTACCCAATTTTTTTTCCCTCAAAATTTACTAAAAAAGGTGTCTAAAAAAAAAAGATATAACAGCATGCTTGGTATGTTGGAAAATTTTTGAAGGAAGGGAAAGCAGAATGGAATATAGAAACATACTCCTTTCTTCCGTTAAAAAGTATAAGGTATTTTTAATCGAATCTCACCCCTAATAAAGTAATTACCTACTTTTAAACTCACCATATCTTTTCATATTTACTTCTATTAAATATCCTATAATAAATATAAAGTCATTATCAATAGGGGCACTTTAAAAAAAATGATTACATCTCGAAATACTAAAAATGTCTTGCATTTTTTAATATTCAATTCATCAAAAAATACTTTACATTTTTAAATGAAAAGAGTAAATAATGGAAATAGATAAATATAGAAAGACAAAAAATATCCCAAGTCATAAGTACCAATCACAGAGTACTAAAAAGAAAGGAATATTGTCTGAGATAAGTTGATGTTCAGTTATGAGTTGATAATAATATGTTAAAATGAGCGGAACGAATCTGATTTTTAAATAGTTAAATATAGTTAAAGACAAATAAAAATAATACATTAAATTTAAAAGACATATATCTGATAAACACTTCTTTATTTTATATATATAACTTCATAAAAAATTCATCCAACCCTAACATTGAAATTAATTAGAAATTTTTTATTTGCCATAAGTTGTGAATTATGGATACTTATTAAATATTTTTTTGATTAAATAACAGTTTAACCCTCAAATCATAGATCCAAGAATATTTGCAATCTTAAACTCATTTTTGCACAATAATACTTTTTAAATTTTGAAAACAGTGCAATGTTGTCCTTATTATTGATAAAAGTTAATTTTAATTTTAGTTGATCAAAATATTTTAGAAAAAGATAAAAAATTACAGAAAATGATCAATAATAGAGTTAACTTTGATGGTGCAATGTTGATCTTTCTATGTTATTTTTTAGGCCTTTGTTTATAATTTTTGGATCCATTTCTATAATTTTCTTAGTGAACAAACTGTCAAAGTAAACTTTCATTAATGGTAGGAGTTACATTACATGATTTTTAAAAGTTTAGGAAACATATTATACACAAAATGAGTTTAGAATCACTTATTTCCTAGACTTATAATTTAGAAATCAAATTACCTTTTAATCTTATTTTTTTTAAATATACATATTAAATTAGCATACAAATATAATCATGTTAAAATAAGAATTACACAACATTATTGAACTTTTATAATATTACTTAATAAGAATTACGTGTAATATCAAATCTCAACATTAGAAAGTGAAACGAAACAATTTTTGAATCTTGAATAAGTAAATTAAAATAATTGCATAATCTAAAAACATAAAAAATAAATTTTATTATTGCAAACTAACATAAAATAATTTGACCACTCCTTTTTAAATAGAATTGAATTTCAAATAGTTAAATCTAATTCAATGAAAATAAAAAATATACAATTGATAACCGCTCCTTTATGCATGACCCACCACCCATGCAATTGGACAAGCCTTTAAAATTCACTTAAACTTTTTTATATATGAAAAAGAGATGCCGTATTTATTTATAATTTGTTTAATTTTTTTATTAAGTAAATATCTAAATATTTTGAAAATAGAATTAATGTATATTTTTGGCCTTAAAATATTCATAAAAGAGCACCCAATACTCTAAACTATTATGCAAAATAATTTTATTATAGTGTAGCATTTTTGCTATTGCTGGTAAATTCTATAGCAGTGGCCATTAATTTTGAACTAGTTTGATCCAAAATGCCATGTATCATGTCATGTGGATCCTAAAATGCCATGTGACATGCCCTGTGACCCCCATCAATTCCCCTTTTTTCACCTCCTTCAATTTCTCTCTGCCAAACCTATCTTCTTCCTATGAATCTTCTCTTTCCTCTCTTCTCCATTGCTAATGGATTCCGATCACACCCATTGCCATGGTCATTCGCACCAACAGCACTTTCCTCCATGAATCCCACAAAGTTGAGGAGATTAGCCACTCTATTTCCTTTTCTAAAATAATAATTTAGGACATTTGGTGCTCCTTCGTGAATATCATAAAGGCAAAAATGTACTTTAGCTTTGAAAACATGTAGTTAAATTTATGTAAAGTATTTTCATAGATGTTGGTTAAAAGGGTCAAGTGAAAAAAGATTAGGTTGTTTGGGCAGGGTCAAAAACACAAAATGAACCAAAACATGTTGTCACTCAAAAAACTAAAAAGACAAGAGTTTAAACTTTCTCCCACAATTTACCCAAAAAAAATCTCTCACCCATAAAAAAAAAAAAGAAAGAAAAAGAAATAATAGCATGCACTAAATATCCATATTAATAAGTATCAATCACCCAAGTGTTGTCTGAGATATTTAGACTGGGCTAAGATAATCTTTGTGGACAACATGCATTTTCATATAAATAGAATAGAATTGAATTAGCCACTCTATTTCTTTTTCCAAAATAATAATTTAAGACATTTGGTGTTCCTTCGTGAATATCATAAAGGCAAAAATGTACCTTAGCTTTGAAAATATGTAGTTAAATTTATGTAAAGTTTTTTAATAGATATTGGTTAAAAGGGTCACGTGAAAAAAGAAGATTAGGTTGTTTGGGCCAGGGTCAAAAATACAAAATGAACCAAAACATGTTGTCACTCAAAAAACTAAAAAGATAAGAGTTTAAACTTTCTCCCACAATTTACCCAAAAAAAATCTCTCACCCAAAAAAAACAAAAGAAAGAAAAAGAAATAATAGCATGCACTAAACATCCCTATTAATAAGTATCAATCACCCAAGTGTTGTCTGAGATATTTAGGCTGGGTTAAGATAATCTTTGCGGACAACATGCATTTTCATATAAGTAGAATAGAATTGAATTTTTTTCAGTGTTCAGTCCCATCATGTCTTGAAAGTCTTTCCATATTGTTTGGAATTGAGATAAGACCAAATCAAGAAATCTCGATAAAGAAGATAAAAAGGGAGGAGAGAGAATGAGTAAGAATTAAGCAACTAATATACATGGAGATATTTGCATTTTTAAATTTTGAGTAATCAAATACACTTTTTTACATGAAACAAACACAACTTACAAAGTGGTAATAAAAATAGCACAACTAGTCAACTACAAGAAACAAAAAATACAACTGAAGTGTACACCACATTTATCAAATTATACAATTTTGTAAGTTCAAAACAAGTAAACAACAAAAAAATCACATGCACACAACTTATATAATTCCCTGCACCTTCTTAGTGATATAAGACTACATTTAGACCGATAATATTACATTTAGATAATTAAGTTACATGAATTTTTCTAATCTTGACCGTCTAAATTTAATCAAAGGTTGTAGGGCTGCGTACTTGGGAAAGGGTTTCTTCAGCATGGAATTTCTGGGACATCCTAAGATTCCTGTAATGTTGATAAGAAAAAGGAAGAAAGAGACGAGGATGATGATCAGAGTCCACAAGCTCCTTGGGTGCTTCTATGTCTCCCTCCTTTGGTCCCAACAAGAATGAAGCTATTGAAACTCTCACGCTTGCTTCCTTGCACTCTACTCCATGTTTCGCTGTAGCAAACCTTCCATTGCTCCATACCTACACCCATCAAGTCACTACTTTACATTTATCTACTTAGAGTATGAAAAATAGTCGTATTATTAGCTTCATAATTTGTAACTAAAAAAATATGTTCACACACATAGATACATGAATTTGATCCTCTTAAGTTGCAATTCCCTCAAATTGTTTCAATTTTAAATTATAGTTTAATTTGTCATTTTGGTATATATGTAATTCAATTAAAATAAGAAATATATAGATATTCATTCCCCAGATTTATGAAGGGAAAGAAGAATAAAAATTTAAATTTATAATCTAAATAAAATAAGGGGTTTTGTGGGGGCATAGATTTTGCATCCCTGGAGTAAGGAAGGAAAGAACAGAGTAACAATTTAGATCAATCAACTATTAACATTCAAGCAAGCTTGTAAAAATTATTCATACTTTCAATAATTTTAACAAAGGGGAAATCACAATTAAGGACTTGAAAAAAATAAGAAATAATAATTAAGGACCACAAAATCTTGAAATTAAATCTAAAGACAATGGTCCTTTTTGGAGTTTAAAAAAATATTTTGACTAAAAGGCTCTTCACACTAACTAATTGTGCACCTCAAAGAGGAGTATTTTACTCAAAAGGTTAGTTTTTTAAACTATAAAAAAGGACCATGGTCCTTAAATTCAATTTCACAATTTTATGATCCCCAATTGTGATTATTAGTTTTCTAAGGTCCTTAATTGTAGTTTTTCCAATAACCAAATGGCCAAACAAGCTTGTTGATGACTTAGGATTGAAGGCCAAGAGATGCAACTTACATGAGCAATATCACCGAGAACGGCAAAGAAGCTCCCTGGGCAAGGAGGGACATCAACAAGGGAACCAGATTTATTGTTCATCACTTGAAGCCTAACATTTTCATCATCTTGTAGAATAGTGATGAAGCTTGGGTCTATGTGCATTGGCACACCAGACAACCCTATCGTTTCTGGTGTGAAACTGTACTTATTAATTCTGAAATGACATGCCCATTCCTTAAAGTATCCATCTGCTTCTTCTTCCAAACCCAAACTCTCTGCCATCTTTTTTGATACATCCATCAACAACACATGAATTGCTTTTCCATATGCCTCTATCACTTTCCTGCATGCCACACATCACATATATATACACCTCAAATAAAACCACTTTTTTGTTCTTGGAAATTCGATTCAGTAAGAGTCAATAACAATATTGAAAAATCAATAACATGCTTAGCAGACCTAATAGGTAATTTTGGTAGTTTACTTTCCGCTCGTGCCTTATAATACACAAAACTATAGGTATGCCGTGGTATTCCCTATCTTTCTTTTTTGAGTAAAAATGAAGAATTTCATTCCTCAAAAAATAACTAAACAGCACATGGTCTTATATCAAAAAAGAAAGCTTACATTTGGTGAGGAGAAGCATCTAATTGAGAGCAGAAAGCTTGAACAGCGTGAGAAGAAACCATGTCGTAGAGTCCCAAGCTCTCGAAGAAAGGATTCTCAGAATTTGGAGGAATATAGCCTCTTGCTTTACCAACTTGTTCGGTGTTTCGCATCTTGATCTCTACAGGAAGGTCAAGCAGAGATCTCGCAACCACCTTCATCTCCGCCATGAGACTTGAATCAATACGATGGTTCGTCAATATGAAGCATCCCCACTCCTCGCACGCCTCTCTCAGCTTCTTCTTGAGATTATCTCCAGACTCTTTCAGATCGATCACTGGCACAGCGCTCATCTTCGCCATTCTTCCCTGTCTGTCTGGATTTCTTGTGGCTGTACTGTGCAGGTATAACCATCAAGAATCGTTTGGTAAAAATTAAGCTTTTGGTTGATTGGTTCTATACTTTTTATCTCGAACTTTGACTTATGGTAACTTAATCTTGGTAGTTCTAACATGGATATAAATCACAGCCATTAATTCTGCTGGAGGCGGGGCAATACGAAATCTCTCGTCTGTTCCGTCCTCGGTAAGTGAGATACTTTTGCTTGCTTTCTTGCTTTCTAATTCTGAACAGTGGACTCCAACTTTTTCTTTTTCTTCTTCGATTTTTCTCCTATTTGACTTTTCTTGATGTGCACCTTACACGTGATGTTTGTGCAATTTGATATACTCTATGCTTTTTCTCCTATGATTTTTCTTCCATTTGATATACTTTATTCTTTCTCTCCTTTGATTTTTCTCCTATCCGATTATTATTACGTCTATCATTGATACAACTTATCTGATTATTTTGTGATTTCCGTGCTTTGTTCATGGATAATGCCAAACATGTAGTACATAAAAAATCTATTGATTATTCTTTTCTGGTTCTTTTCTGACTGTGCTTGTTATTTATTCATGAAACTGAATCTTTTGTTCTTATTTGTGATAATTGTGGCTTAATTATTTATCAATTTGCATTATGCTTTTTGATTATTTTATTAGATGGGCAAGGAATTAAATCTAACATGATGTCTGCTACATACAGAAGTTCTTAATCCACCAGAGGCAAGATCAGAGAGTAGATAAACAGATTCTCCATATCGTCCTCTATGAAATGGAGATTTTTAGCTATCGTCAATAATGTGTGTATTTGGATAGATGAGACAATCAATTCTAAAATAGCCAAATCAAGAGTTTGAGAAAATATATCAAAACACTAGTATTATATGACAAAATTAATTATAAACAAAAAATATCATTTTCTTACAAATATACAAACAGCCCTATACATGCCAAATTTAATTATGAGCCTAAAAATATTATTTATAAAATGGAGTTTATATGTTTTTGAATAAATTTTTTAAAAAATAAAATTTAAAAAGTTGGTCTGAAAAACAAGTAATAGTAACTTTGAGATAGTTATATTTTTGTATTCATAATTGATTTTAATATATATATATATATATATATAGGAGTGCTTGAATAATTTTTTTTTAAATCATAGTTCTGAGCTTATAATTCAGAAATCATAGAGTCATCCTTTTTTCACAAATGATTGTCATCGCTTTGTTCTCTATTGTATCTACATGCATGGAGATGAGTTACAGCATTGCAATTTTTTTTTTTTTTGAGGCAATGAGATGAGTTACAGCATTGCGACAAAAAGAGAGGATTTCGCTTCACTTCTCCTTTATTGCTTGTTTTAACTTGATGTTCTTATAGCTATAGGATAAATACAGAGGTCACTCTATCATCAATGAAGATCTTTATTGTCAACAAGATAGATTCTCCTCACCAAAACTTGAAGTCTTTTTAATACTTATCATTTTGTCAAGTGTTTCTTTTTAATTTTCTTTTTTAATTTTACTTTTTTATGTAACTGTGATAGTGTACGGACTTTATTTTTATCCTTTAATTTAAAAAAAAAAAAAGTTCAACTATAGCTTTGTTTTATGCCAACCCTTATCTCGTTCCATCATTATGTTAATCTATATGAACAGTTTTTATGAATTCACAAGTCACAAAACATTTGCATTGTATATCATTTTAATAATTTTTTTTATTTTAAGGTATGATATATTTAGAATGTATATTTACTGAACTTTTCTTGGTTTAATTTTTTTAATTTTTTGTTCCTCTCCCCTTTTAGATTCATCTCCAGATTCCTTGATCATTTTTTAGCTTCACATTATTCTCCCTCTTTTAGATTCTTGAGTTTTCATTGATCTTGTGATTCTTTTTTTTTAAAAAAAAATTGTTTGTTCTTTATCTTCCTATTCTGATAAACTTCACGTAATTTATGTATTATTCGGACTGATGCAAGTTTGTTCACTTTTTTTTATATTCTTTGGAGTGATGCATTGGGCAACCATGGCCCATCACCCATACAATTGGAATGGCCTTTTTTTTTTTTTGTCCTTAACTTTTTTGGGTAATCGAATGACCTTTTAATTATATTACATATATCTTTTTAAAAAATGAGATACCGCATTTATTTATTTTTTATTTTTTTTTTAAAATTCTTTTGTTGAAGATTTATATATTTTGAAAATATGTACTTAAATTTATGAAACAAATTTTAACAGTAAAAGGCTAATGTGAAGATTAAAAAAAAGTCTAAGAATGGGTTGTTTCGGTCAAAGCCCAAAAACCAAAGTGGATCAAAACAAACTGTCACTTGCAGTAACTCAATAAAATTTCTCTCACAATTTTTACCCAAAAAAATATTTTTCCTCAATTTACTAAAAAATTTTTCTCACAAAAAGAAAAAGGACCGGGGGGGGGACAACAGCATGCTTGGGATGTTGGAAATTTTTTGAAAGAATGGAACATAAAAATTGTTTACACCCAAATTTTAAATTTAGAGGCTCAAATTTAACTCAACTTAATTGATTTTAAAATAATTAAAAGAAAATATTTATGAAGTTTTAGTCACTAAATTATCTATACTCCACTCATAATGAATAACCACGATGGAAGAAACGATTCCTAAATTTAAGAAAACGGGCAATTATGGGGCTTGGATATCAAATCAGGATTATTTATAAATAGAGGAGCTCTCTCAACTATTATCATCAGCATCAATAAATTATTAGTCTCAAACTCCGCATCTGTTGCTTCATTTTATTTTTTCTTTTATCATGTAATTTTAGTTTTTATTTTTTTATTGTACGATCAGCATAACCCGCTACCTCTTTCTTTAATTAATGTATCTCTACTTTCTTACATCTATATTAATTTTCTTCACTTTACATTCTTACATCCAAGTAAATTGTGGTAGGGGAGCTTGGGTTCCCCACATTTGATTAAAAATCAGGTTCTTCCATCCTTTTGAGACTCCCACATCTCTAGTATGCCTCATGACATCTCTCTTTTATTTTTTCCCAACAGAAACATAAGTAATGGAAATAGATAAATATGGAAAGACAAAAATATCCCTAGTAATAAGTACCAAATTACCAATCACAAAGCACTAAAAACAAAAGAAATTTGGTCTGGGATAAGTTGATGTTCAGTTATATGAGTTGATAATAATATGTTCAAATGAGTGGATCGGATCTAAATTTTAATAGTTAAATATAGTTAAAGACAAATAAAAATAATACATTAAATTTAAAAGACATATATTTGGTAACCACTTGTTTATTTTGTATATATAACTTCATAAAAATTTCATCCAAGCCTAACATTAAAATTTAACTAGACATTTTTTTATCTGCTAGGAGTTACGAATTGTGGGCACTTATTATTATTTTTTTTTGTCTAAATAGAAATTTGACTTTTGAACCATAGATCCAAGAGTATTTACAACTTTAAACTCATTTTTGTGCAATAATATTTTTCAACTTTTAAAAACGGTACAATAATTTTGACTATAATTGATAAGAAAATAATAGAAAAAGATAAAAAATTACAAAAAAATTGTCAACAATAAATTTAACCTTGATGGCGCAATGTTGGTTCTTTTATTTTATTTTTTGAGCCCTTATTTATAATTTTTGGATCCATTTTTGTAATTTGCTTTGTTCTTTTTTATAATTTTCTTGGTCAACTAACTGTTAGGGTAAATTTTTGTTAATGGTAAGAATTACATTATATAGTTTTTAAAAATTGAGGGAAAATATTAGACATAAAATAAGTTTAAGATCACAGATGTTCCTAAATTTAAATTTAGGGATCAAATTATGCTTTAAATTTTTTAAATATACATATTAAATAAGTATACAGATACAGTCATGTTAAAATAAGAATTATACATAACATTATTGAACTTTTATAATATTACTTAACAAGAATTACATGTAATATCAAATATCAACATTCGAAAGTGAAACGAAACAATTTTTGAATCTTAATTAAGTATGCTCCTAGTTAAAGAAAATAAAATAATTACATAATCTAAAAAATAAATTTTATTATTGCAAACAAACATAAAATAATTTGACCACTCCTTTTTCAATAGACTTGAATTTCAAATAGTTAAATCTAATTCAATGAAAATAAAAAAAATATACAATTGATAACCACTGCTTTATGAATGACCCACAACCCATGCAATAGGATCAACCTTTTAAATTCACCTAAACTTTTTAGTGCATGAAAAAGAGATATCGTATTTATTTATAATTTGTTTAATTTTTTCCATTTATTGAATGTAAAGATAAATTAAAAATAAAATTAAAGTGTATTTTTATCCTTATAGTATACACAGAAGAGCACCTAATACTTTCAACTATTGTTCGAAGCATTTTTGTTTTTAAAGTGATTGCAGTGTAGCATTTTGCCATTGCCGTTAAATTCTCTAATGTTGGCCATTAATTTTGAATAAGTTTAAACCAAAATGCTACATGTTATGTCCTATGACCCCTATCAACTCCCCTTCCTTTGTCTCCTTCAATTTCTCTTTGCCAAAAACCTATCTTCTTCCTATGAATCTTCTCTTTTCTCTCTTCTCCACTGCTAATAGATTCTGATCACACATATTGCCATGGTCATTCGCACCAACAACAGTTCCCTCCATGAATCCCACAAAAGTTGAGGAGATTAGCCATGCTATTTCTTTTTTTAGAGTAATAATTTAAGGCACTTGATGCTCCTTTTTTAAATATTTTAAAGGCAAAAATGTACTTTATCATTAAAAACATGCAGTTAGATTTATGTAAAATATTTTAATAGATGTTTGTTGAAGGGCTCAGGTAAAAATTTAAAAAAAAAAGATTGGGTTGATTGGGCCAAGGCCCAATAAACAAAGTGGACGAAAAAGATATTATCACTCAAAAAACTCAAAAGACAAGAGTTTAAAATTACTCCGACAACTTACGAAAAAATAAAAATAATAAATGACAGCGTGCACTAAATATCTTTAGTACTTAGTTCCAATCACCCAAATGTTGTATAAGATACATAGGCTGGGTTAAAATAATCTTTAGGAACAACAAGCATTTCCATGTAAACAGAATGAAATTAAATTTTGGTCCCATGTTTGACCATGTCGTGCCTCAAAAATCTTCCTATTTTGTTTGGAATTGAGATGAGACCACACAGATCGAGAAATCCCAATAAAGAATAAGAAGAATTAAGCAACTAACATATATGGAGATATTTGCATTTTCAAATTTTAAGTAATCAAACAAACTGTTTTTACACGAAACAAACACAACTTACAAGGTGGTAATAAAAATAGCACAACTAGTCAACTACAAGGGAAAAAAAAAAAAGCCTAAAGTCTACACCACAATTATCAAATTATATAATTTCGTAAGTTCAAAATAGCACAAGTAAACAACAAAAAATCACACATACACAACTTATATAATTCACTTCACGTTCTAAGTGATTTAAGACTATGTTTAGACCGTTAATATTAGATTTAGATAATTAAGTTTCATTGATTTTTCTAATCTTGACTATCTAAATTTAATTAGAGGTCGTAGGGACACGTACTAGGGCGAGGGATTCTCCAGCATGGATTTTCTGAGACATCCTAAGATTCCTATAATATTCATAAGCAAAAGGAAGAAAGAGACGAGGATGATGATCAGAGTCCACAAGCTCCTCAGGTGCTTCTATGTTTCCCTCCTTTGACAAGAATGAAATCATTGACACTCTCACATTTGGATCCTTGCACTCTACTCCATGTTTCACTGTCGCAAACCTTCCATTGCTCCATACCTACACACATCAAGTCCTACTTTACATAGATTTACATAGAGTCTGAAAAATGAGCCGTTTTGTTCACTTCATAATTTGTAACTAACAAAAATTGTTTACACACATGTATACATGAAGTTTGATCCTCTTAAGTTGCAATCCCCTGAATTTGTTTCAATTTTAAATTATAGTTTGATTGAAGGCCAAGAGATGCAACTTAGATGAGCAATTTAAATTTATAAATCTATGTAAGGGAAAGAAACCTAACAATTTAAATTTATAATCTACATAAAATAAGGGATTTTTTTTTTTGGGCATAGATTTGGCATCCCCCAACAAAGAAAAGAACAGTAACAATTTGGATCAATCAACTATTAACATTCAATCAAACTTGTGAAAATTATTCATACTTTCAATGATTTTGGTTTCGAAGAACTTCTTCGGCCAATAACAAAGGGGAAATCATAATTAAAGACCTGAAAAAAAAAAAGAAATAATAATTGAGGACCATAAAATCTTGAAATTAAATCTAAGGACGAATGGTCCTTTTTTGGAGTTTAAAAATAATATTTTGACCAAAAGACCCTTCACACTAACTAATTGTACATCTCAAAAAGGGGTGTTTTACTCAAAATATTATTTTTTAAACTACAAAAAAGAACCATGGTCCTTAAATTCAATTTCACAATTCTATGATCCTCAATTGTTATTACTAGTTTTTTAAGGTCCTTAATTGTAGTTGTTCCTATAAACAAATGTCCAAACAAACTTGTTGAATGACTTAGGATTGAAGGCCAAGAGATGCAACTTACATGAGCAATATCACCAAGAATGACAAAGAAGCTTCCTGGGTGAGGAGGGACATCAACAAGAGAACCTGACTTATTGTTTATTACTTGAAGCCCTCCAACATTTTCATCATCTTGCAGAATAGTGACTAGACCTGGGTCTGTGTGGATTGGCACGCCACACGACCCTACCGTTTCTGGTGTGAAACTGTACTTGTTAATCCTGAAGTGACATGCCCATTCCTTGAAATATGCATCTACATTTTGCAAACCCAAACTCTCTGCCATCTTTTCTGATACATCTATCAACAACTCATGACTGGCTTTCCCATACGTCTCTATCACTTTCCTGCACGCCACACATCACATACATATACTTCAAATAAAACCTCTTTTTTGTTCTTGGAAATTGGATTCAGTAAGAGTCAATAACAATCTTGAAAGATCAATTACATGCTTGGTAGACCTAACAGGTAACTTTGGCAGTTTACTTTCTGCTTGTGCCTTCTAGTACACATAACTACGGCATGGGTATGCCGTGGTATTGCCCCCCTTTTTTCCCGAAAAAATGGGGAATTTCATTCCTTAAAAATAGCTAAACAGCACATGGTTTTACATCAAAAGAGAACTAATTGAGAGCAGAAAGCTTACGTTTGGTGAGGAGAAGCATCTAATTGCGAGCAGAAAGCTTGAACGGCGTGAGAAGAAACCATGTCGTAGAGTCCCAAGCTCTCGTGGAAAGGATTCTCAGAACTTGGAGGAATATAGCCAGTTGCTGTCCTAACTTGTTCGGTGTTTCGCATCTTGATCTCTACAGGAAGGTCAAGCAGAGATCTCGCAACCAACTTCATCTCCGCCATGAGACTTGAATCAAAACGATGGTTCGTCAATCTGAAACATCCCCACTCCTCGCACGCCTCTCTCAGCTTCTTCTTGAGATTATCTTCAGACTCTTGCAGATCGATCACTGGCACGACGCTCATCTTCGCCATTCTTCCCTGTCTGTCTGGATTTCTTGTGGCTGTACTCAACATATACGGCCATGAAGAATCGCTTGGTAAAAGTTAATCACTTGGTTCCATACTTTTTAACTCGAACTTTGACTTATGCTAACCTAATCTTGGTAGTTTTGACTCGGACATAGATCACAGCCATTAGTTCTGCTCGAGGCGGGGCAATAAGAAATCTGTCCTCTGTTCTTAGTGTAGTGACACTGATACACCACTATTGGAGAAGCGCTTACTTCTCTTTAAGAGGGAAGGATTCACCGCTGTGACTTGGTAAAATTTGGTTCCAATGTTTTAATTATATAAAATATTAATTCTTATATTTTAAAAATAAAGTTTTAAAAATTAAAATTATGTTTACATTTAAAATCTAATTTTGAATTAATAAAATTTTATTTTGGTAAAAAATATAAAGATTTAATTTTTGTAATCTTATTTTTTAAAATATATGCATTAATATTTAAAATAGTTAAAAATATAATAATTGAGTTATTCTGAGTCAAAATTTAAAAATTTAATTATAATTAAATTAAAATTTTAAAAAATAAAATGCAACAAGTTAAAATTTAAAAATTAAATTACAATTAAATTAAAACAGTAAAATTAGAGGGATCAAATGATAATTTTTTTTTTTTTGAAAAAACATGTCATGTTTCTGTTTTTTTTTTTAAAAAAAATACAAGAAGAAAGTGCGATGATAGGAGGACACATGAGTACCCCATGTTCAACGTTTCTCGACCTGATTTCTCTTTTAAAAAGGTTAAAAAAAAAGGGGGGGGGGGGGATGAAGGTCTTAGGGCAAAAATATGCTTTTTTTTAAACAGTAGCCAGAATTTTCCAGTAAAAAGGCACTAAAAAAGGGTGCCAATGACTTTTGGGAAAATCATTTTTAAGATTTCATATAACAAATCTAAATATAAAAAGAAGTATTATAAAACATAAAATTACTTTGAATTTTTCATGTCCAATAAACCGAGTGGTCAATTATTGTGAATAATTATTAGTAGAATATTTTCATTAACAACTATGCAATAACAATTAATAACTATCCACAGTAATTAACAATTTCAATAAAAAGACAATTTTAGAATAATTTTATAATTCCACAGGATTTTTTTCACATTTAAATTTCTTGTTATTCCTTTTAAAAACTTGTTTGAAATAGTTTGAAGCATCCCCTTAAATTGTGCTAAGCATGTAAGAGGAGCTATATTTACTATAATTGAGTTCTCAAGAACTTTTACCGCAGTTTTCTTAGCATGTTTAACACACACATATAGGCGCGCTAGGAATAACAATTTTCACTATTATACATAACTTGAATACACACACACACACACAAACTGTCATGCTGTGGATGATTTTGAATATACATAGCTTGATAGACTCTAGAAATTAGATATTTATATGAATTAATTCCCTGCGCACATCCTTAGTTCTTTAAGACTACATCTAGAGCATTTAAGATTAGACTTAGATAATTTAAATTTTATTTATTTATTTAAATCTAGATTGTCTACATATAAGACACGTACTAAGGCAAGGGCTTCTCCGGCATGCAATTTTTGGGATACCCTAAGCTCCTTGTAATGTTCATAAGAGAAAGGAAGAAAGAGACGAGGATGATGATCAGAATCCACAAGCTCCTTAGGTGCTTGTATGTCTCCCTCCTTTGGTCCCAACAAGAATGAAGCTATTAATACTCTCACACTTGCTTCCTTGCACTCTACTCTGTGCTTCACAGTTTCAAACCCTCCATTGCTCCATACCCAAACACACATTTGTATTATTCATTTCATAATTTGTAATAATCCCAATTTGTTTACACACATAGTTACATGAATTTAGATCCCTTAAGTTGCAATCCCCTCAATTGGTTTCATTTTCAAATTATAGTTTGAATTGATTAAACAGTTTCGATTTATCTTTTTTTATAGAGATGTAGTTCAAGTAAAATAAGAAATAAATAAATATCACATTCATGTCGGAAGGGGAAAAAGTAAAGGGAAAATTACAATTAGGTCCCAAATAAGGAAATTAATTATTTTTTCAGTTTATTTACAAGTCAAACTTTGATATTGACACATTAAATTTCAGCATTTACAAGTGGTTGGGACCTAAAAGTAACTAATTTTCTTATATGGGACTTATACATAATTCGCCTAAATTTGAATTTATAATCTATATAAAATAGGGGAAATATAGACGTTGCATCTCCCTAATTAGGAAGGAAAGAACAGAGTAACAATTCAGAATTTCAGATCAATTAACTATTAAAAATTAAAAATTAAAATCCAGACAAGTTAAGGGAATTGCAAACTAAGGTGATTCAAATTCCACAAGTATTATTCAACCAAGCTTGTTAAAATTAATCAAACTTTCAATCATTTTAATTTGGAAAAACTTCTTCCGCTAATAACAAATGTCAAAACCTCACACATTTCAGAACTTGATGATGATCACTTAGGATTGAAGGCCAAGAGATGTAACTTACATGAGTAATATCACCAAGAATGGAGAAGAGACTTCCTGGGCAAGGAGGGACATCAACAAATGAACCAGACTTGTTCATGACTTGAAGCCCTCCAACATGTTCATCATCTTGCAGAATGGTCAGGGGGCTTGAGTCTGTGTGGATTTGTACACCAAACAACCCTATTGTTTCTGGGTGAACCTGTACTTGTTAATCCTGAACTGATATGGCCAGTCCTAGAAATACCTATCTCCTTCTTCCAAACCCAAATTCTCTGCCATCTTTTTTGATACATCCATCAACAACTCATGAATTGCTTTCCCATATGTCTCTATCACTTTCCTACATACCACACATCACATATATATACACTTCAAACAAAAGCACTCTTTTGTTCGTGGAAACTGGATTCAATAAGAGTCAATAACAATCTTGAAAGATCAATAACATGCTTACAAGACCTAATAGGTGATGAGGGTAGTTTACTTTCTGCTTGTGCCTTGTAACACACATAACTATAAGTAAAAATGGAGAATTTCATTCCTGGAAATAGTTTTACATAAAAAAAAAAATTTTGAACCAGACTATGGGTAAACTATACAAGAGCAATAGAAAAAAAGAACAAAGGGCGAAAAAGGATCAAGGCAATGTTTAGTTCATGAAAAAGTGTTTTCTAGAATTTCATTCCTGGAAATAGTTTTACATAAAAAAATTAAAAAAAAAATTGAACCAGACTATGGGTAAACTATACAAGAGCAATAGAAATAAAAGAACAAAGGGCGAAAAAGGATCAAGGCAATGTTTAGTTCATGAAAAAGTGTTTTCTAGAAAGAAAACAAGAAATGTACCTAGAAAGGGGGGTGGGGTAGGTGCATTTATCATTTCTTTTCTAGAAAGCATTGTTCTACCTACCTAACATTACATAAAAGTTCAACATAACAATGACGTTAAGAACCCTGGAGGTGTGTTGCACAAGTGCTAGAACTTCATTCAACAATCTATGTTTGGAGAATTAAGCATTAGCAAAAGTCAACTTGTTTCTATTTTCCCAGAGTTTCCAACACAAGAAGCCAAAAGTAATTCTTCACTTTTCACTTCTGCGATGAGGATTAAGATTGGTGACTAGCCATTTTTCAAGAGGGAGGTTGAAGAAGTCACTCAAAGTCATGGTCAGTTATTCCCCATCTTCAATACACATGCTATACTATGATCTACTTTAATGGCTTCACATTAAATTCATTCAAGTCCATTCCAACTGTCCATTTGAAACCCACATGATCGTGTAATTTTCATCCCAACCACCCGCACGTAAACTATAGATGGTTGGGATAAACTCTTACCATCTCTTGTTGGATTCATGTCATTTTCAGTGCAGAATAATAAATAAATAAATAAAAGTTATGAATCAACTAAAATGCTTTCAAAACAGAATATCAGACTTTCCCTCCCTGAAGTGTTCTTCTGGTTCTTAGAATTTTCTAACATGTTCTGCAATTGGTGGTCTCCACAAACAAACAGGCACAGACAGATTTTTTTTTTTTTAGTGTGTGTGTGCTTACAATGAGACAAAAAATTGTCCTAAATTAATGGATGATATTTACTTAATAACAGATAATTGTAAGAAAAAGGGAGAAAGAGTTACGTTTGGTGAGGAGAAGCATCTAATTGAGAGCAGAAAGCTTGGACGGCGTGAGAAGAAGCCATGTCGTAGATACCCACGCCCTCGTAGACAGGATTCTTAGAACTTGGAGGAATATAGCCACTTTCTGGGTTACTTGTTCAGTGTTTCGCATCTTGATCTCTACAGGAAGGTCAAGCAGAAATCTTGCAACCTGCTTCATCTGCGCCATGAGACTCGAATCAATAGGATGGTTCGTCAACCTGAAATATCCCCACTCCTCGCACGCCTCTCTCAGTGTCTTCTTGAGATTATCTCCAGACTCTTGCAGATCGATCACTGGCACGTCGCTGATCTTCGCCATCGTGCCCCTTTTCCTCCTCCTCCTCCTCCTCAGTCTGTTCTTGCCTTCGATTTCTTTTTATAAGAAAAAGCAAAATTAAACTGTACTGTACAGACGTAGCCAAGTAGAAAGTGCGATGATCAACGTTTCTCTACGTGATTTTTCCGGGGACTGTCTACTACGGTCAGTGATGAGGAGAGATTTCAACTGACACGCTTTAAAAAATAACAAGTTTTCCATTTAATTTTTGGAGGCACCGTTTGGTTCTTCTATTTTTTACTTTCCAAAAATGCCATTTTATTTTTGGAATATAAAAAGTTATTTGAAGTCATTTTTGAGATTAAGTATATTTTTAGAAAGGACTTTTTAGCTAGATTTAAATGTAAAAAATTAAAAACTGTATTTTATAACTTTTAAAAAGTGAATTCAAAAAGTAAAATACTATTTGATCATACTACTCCAAGTTTAATCTCTTATTTTTTATTTAAAAAAAGTTAATTCATTAAAAATAGAATTATCATTTCAATAAATAATAATTAGGTATCAAATTTTTAGCATTATAAATTATAAATTGAATAATTAATTATGTTAATTTTTAGCATTAATGTATAATAAAAATTATAAGTCTTTATCATATTTTTTAAAATTACAAATGAAAAAAATATAAATAATTAGAAATTAAGTTTTTAACATTATAGATCAAATTTTATGTTATTTAAAATATTTATCACATTTTTTAAATATTTCAAATATATTACATTTATATAATAAAAATTACAAATCATTATAAATCAATGTCCTTTTTCATAATTGCATATTTAAAAACATATTTCACTATCATAATCCGAACAACTTTCAGTGCACTAACTGACTTTTAAAAAAAAATATATTCAAACACAAATTTTGTCACACCAACTGATTTTTATTAAATTAACTTTTGTCAAATTTTTTCATTAAATGAACTTTTGACAAACTGAAAATAAAAAACACACGTAAT